AGTTGAAAAAGAACATCAATTTGTGAGCAGGAGAGGATATCAACCATGGATTGTCCAGCTGTTTCTACCAAAGACATGGGATGGGATGACCTACAATTATTTGTTTTATCAAAATAACTTTTCATTACAAATAATGCCAAAGTGGGGTGTACACAGAATGCCTTCAAGCATTGAAGTTGAGTTGCTTCTCCTAATACTCTAAGTTAGTGTTGTCCAAACTTGGCCACTTTAAGATGAGTGGATTTCAACTCCCAGAATTCCCCAGCCAGCATAAAGTGGCCAAGTTTGGACAACACTGCTCTAAGTGGTTCTACTGCCCTGCAGTGGGGAAAGTGGATTGAGCAAAGTCAGTAGCAAATGATCAGGGCTGGCAAAGTCCAGGTGCCCACCAGATGACAGCAAAGAAAGACAGAAAACTCTTTGTTGCTGAGCTGTGGTCACTCGGATTCTCACCACACAGATCAGATAGTCCTGCTACAGGGCTTGGGTCAGCATAGAGGTAAAAGCAGCTGCTTACTTCTGACTGTCTAGGAGTTGCAAAACCCAGTGGAAGAAGCTTCTAAGTTGGGTTGTCCTTGCCAGTTTATGTTTCCAACTTCTGCTAAAGGAGCAGGAGAGGATTCAGTTTATTCTGTTTGGTACCCTTCCTCACTCTGTCTATTGCTTTCATCCAAAAATGTAGGTGACTGCATTAAGCGCTCTTTAGATCGTCAAGGGCCTTCAGATTAAGGCAGAAGTGGGTCAAAGCTATAACTCCACAGCCTGCAGTAGCTCTTGTTCCTAGAATTTAAGACCCTCCTAGGACCATCTTAGAACTCAAATGCCAAGCTTCCTTAGAAAAATCGGACGATCCCTTTCATTAGGCTATTGGTTTGTAATCCAATCTTGAGACTGACAGGATTTTGACCGCCTCCAACCATGGGCTTTTGAAGAGGGGCAAGTAATGATGTCATGGTTTTTACTGGACTCCTGGTGAAGTCTCTGTATTTGTTGGAAAATACAGTCATCATGTTGTTCACATGATTGCAAGGACATTTGAAAGAGAGAGACAGAAAGAGAGATGGGAAGTATTGTTAGTTAAATGGGTTTAAGACACAAAGGGAACTTAGGCAGAAGTGCGGTTTTCCTATCTTCCTGTATCTCTTAATACATATTTTTCTTAAGTGTAATGGGACTGTTAGCATTTGCTGATGGCTGGGTTAAGCCCATACACTGCATCCAAGACAATTATGCCATGTTTTCCCAAAGGTATGCTCTGCTACTCTGCCTTCTTTCAGCACTCTGCTCATGTTCAGCAACACATCCTCTGACAAGGGCTCCTGCTGAATTCCAATCTCCAACAATACTAGGAGCGGAGGACAAAAGAATGTGCTTCTCAGGGGCTTCTAGTACTATAAATCATGATTTTCTTCTGAGTTCCCTGGAAGGAGTAGGCAGTGAGGGAACCATTTTACCCAAATGTAGGTTTCAGGAAGGGGGGGATGGCTAAACTAGCAGTCCCTGGCAAAGATGTTCTCCAGTCCAAATTCAATTTCTCCATTATATTATTATAATTATTATAATCTAGCTCTTCTTGTTATTTGGAAGTTGAAAATCAGTATCTGAAATCAGCAAAGGACTGATATGGCCTAGCAAACGGCGGCTTTATCCGGACAAGGACAAAGTCCCAATAGTAAGAGATAATCTTGATTTGGGAAGCAATATTCAAACTTCTTTTGGATTGGTTTGTACTCTCCCTAAAACAGTAAACAGGTATTTGATGAATGCAATTGGACTGATTTTCTTCTGAATAAACTGGTGGTATCTAAGGCCAGGAGTGATTTTACCAGCTTCGGAAGGTCAGTCAGGTCAACCACAGGTTTCTGTTTTCTGGAGAAACCTAATTCTGCCACAGATAAACTTCATTTCCAGGCTAAATTGCTACAATACATCCTAAATGGAAATACCCTGTGTTCAAACACATCAATTGGTGCAAAATGAGTACATCATATTATACTAGTATAGTGTGGCATTGGTTACTAGTTTGCTTCTGCCTCACTTCAAAGGGGTTTTTGGTATCTGAAGGACTATAATCACCACCTCACATTAGCTTCATGAGGTGTACCTTTCATTATGTCTTTTGGTGTAGAGATCTGGCAATTCACATGCTATGACATGGACACCATGTTCTTACGTTTGGCTTAAATCTTGGGAAGCAACATACCTTGTTCTCTCTTGACAGCCAGTGTGAGATCTTTGCATAACAAATCAGAGTAGATCCCTGCAGCAGGATGGACCTCTTCTTCCCAGCTTACACTCCCAGCCCTTTCCCCAAACAGATGCCAAGCAAGGATACCCAAAGCACTTGCCCTTTCTACTCTTTAGTGCAAGAGTATACTTATTCATTTCGATAAGTTGTTCTTGTAACTGTCTTGGTTATGCATCACTGTTAAAACCACTATTTCCTAAGCGCAGCTGGGGTTGACGCAGACTGCAACCCAGACAAGCTTGAGGTCATTCTAGAGATGTCTGAAGATCTATTAGAGTTTTTCTGAGCTTTACAAGGAAACACCACAAGCTATTACAAAAACAGAAGCAGAACTGTTGTCATTAAGCAATCCTCTCAGTTCTGGCCTTGGGTCTACAGTATCCTGTCTTGACTAGCCCAGCCCAGCCCAGCCCAGCCCAGCCCAGCCCAGCGAGTGGAGTCCTGACTACAGAGTTCAGAGGAGAAATGGCCATGCTAGATGATCTTAAAGCAATTAGTGCTTGGATTTGCCAAATCATCCCCAAAAGGAGCATCTGGAGATAATGGACTGGACAGAGAACATGAGAATTTAGAGAAGATTAACAGAAAACCATCATTCAACTCTAGAACATGGCTGAGACTGAAGTCTCAAACCTTCTATATAGGAGTAACTTCAGGAAGAGGCTCTTTGTTACATATTCTCCTGGGTCGCCCACCTACCTGCTTACAAGACAATACATCAGAACTTTGGAAAGTAATTTCCAGGCTGGTTTTAGGAGAATTCCTTTCTCCATTCAGAGCATCCCCACATCTTTGGTCTCCAACCTTATCACCTTGAATATCAAAGTGATGAATACAATTATCTCCTGGAACTACAGCAGCAAAGAAGGTAGTCCAAGCTCCCTTTTCTGCTTTGCTTTTTTCATTTCATTATTCTTCTAAATTCCTTTTGGGCCATCCCACCCTAGACAGACATTCTAAAGTATCTGCATAGGTTGCTTATAAATCAGACTCCTAAAGTATCACAACCCCTTCAGAATGTTGATCACCCACTGTCTAGATCTCTCTCCCCCCTTCTTTACAAGTTCCTCTAATTTCAACTCAAGGTGCAACCTATCAGTAAACAATTAGCCATTCTCTTCTTTTCTGATACTATTTGGTTAGCCTTCCTTCCTTTTCTTTCCCCATTTCCTAGCACTTCAGCCTCAAAAAGGCCAAATTAAGTATCTATAAAATTGCCTTCTTCTCTGCCTCAAATCCACTGGCTGTTCGTGATATCTGAGGATGGGAACACAAAATACATCCTTACGCCTATTTACATATGGTGAAATACTTTTGCAGTCACGCCACATGCTACTGGCAGCTGTTTCTATGGTAGTGGGATTTTTTTGGATCAGTATCCTATGAAAATGTAAGGCTAGCTGTCTAACAACAACACTGCAATTTTTAATTTACACCAGTGCTATGGTAACTGAACCCATCTTCTCTATTTACAAACACAGACTCCAAACCTGGGAAAGATCAACTGTTTTTAAAAAATCGTAGGAGCCTATCTTTTGAATGTTTCATGAGCAGCCCTACAAAAAGGAATCAATCTGGTCTTGAAGAATGGGAGTAGAGACACGTTTCAAAACTAGAGGTATTCTCCATCCTAAAATACAGGTAACAAGAGAACAGTATTTCTAGCACCCAAGACAAGACAGGTCTGGGGAAAAGACACTTCTGTATGGGAAGAAAACACAATTCTGAAAAGCAAGAGAATTTATTCAAGAGTGTAAAACAATAGTGATTGTGTTCCGCTGTTCCAGAAGCTGTAGCAAGTCAGAAACCCCTTTCCAGAACTTAAATAATTTTGACCATGACCACCATTGTGACACTGTTCTTATCGTTGCAAAGCCAAAATGGGCAGAGCAGTTTTGAAAATGCTCAACAGATCTGCTCCAAAGTGCTCTGAAACGTTCAGAGTTTGTATTCTGAAATGGAGGGGAAGACCTTGAGAGCTGACAGGCCTGTCTGCAAAATGCTTATTTGTTGAGAGGTTTTTACTGTGTTCTTAAACTTTAACAAAGAGGAATGTTTTGCTCAAATGAAGGGGGTGGGAAGTTATGTTCACCCGGTTTTGCTGTCATATGTATGGTTCCTGGTTTGTGTTTTATTTGTGGTTTTGCCTGGGTGTGCAGGTGTATAACTGTTTCATCTACATGTCTTCCTTTTTTGTGCCCTGTGGTTAAATTTACTGTTGGATGCTTCAAATTTACTTATGTCCTTCTGTTCAGTTTATTGCCAAGTTGTCTTTAACTTCATTAGGTTATAGTACTTCTTGCAGAAAGAGTGCTGTTACTTGAAGCTGAATTAAAATGTCATTTCAAATGTCTATACACGACAGGGGGAAGACATGGTGGCTTGGTGGCTATCTTTTAAAGACTGAAATCCTGTGGCTGACAAGAAAACCTGTTTGAATTGAAGACCTGAACTATAAAAATACAGTGGGTAAATGAGAGAAGGATCAAATACTTTGCTCACAGTGGACATTTGTCAAACTCCTTTACTGCTGTTCCAGAGCTAGAAACAGAAAAGCAGTGTAAGAGCCCTGGATTTGTCTGCTTTTTAGAAGGTACTCAAAGTCCATGGTTAAGGGAAAATAGTTGGTGCTTCTTCATTCTCATAGGTCTAAAATCCTTTTTTTTTTTTTTTTGCTTTGTATTGATTGTTAAAAGTCAACATTGCTGACTCAAATACAGTAACACACAGAGTGTGACCGCTGCCCTCCAGAGCATAATTTCATGCACCATATAGAACACCCACCTACAATGAAAGTTGTTCAGAGCTGGGATTAAGTTGGACCCAAATGGTCCTATCAGATTCTGCTGACCTAGCTGAGCTTTCTTGCCTACTGGGCCATTCCTTCCTTTGGCCCCAACTGGACAGTCCTAGCTAATCCTCAAGGGGTCCATCTCTTTATCGGTGCACTGGAGTCACTACGGAGAGTTCTGCTCAACCACAATGAATTATTAAGGCTCTGACATTTACATTTTTTATTGTTTGAGATGACTGCTTGTTACAGGATACTGACGGCTGTTTCACATCTGTGTAGGCAGATACATTTTTTCTTTGTAAACACAAATGCATAATATAGTAGTTAGTTTACAGAACAGAAATGTCCTCCTGCTTCTTCGTCTGAGAACTGGTCTACTCTGAAACCACTTTATCCTAATGAGGTGTTCAGACCTCTTGCATGATTGTTTTTGGCAATCTGACTCATGATTTCTGAAATAATTGGGACATGTAAGGAGACACACAAAATTACCCAGTGGAAACCTAAGACAGGAGAAATGCTTTGGTATATTTTGATTATGCAAGAGTATCCAAAAAGGATAAAAATGTTGGGTTAACATTCCAGTATTCTGTAGAAATTGTGAAACGATGAACAAAAATACAATCATGTAATGCAGAGTCTGTTACACATTTCAATAAAGCTTTGTAAAAGTCAGCTTACTTCCAAAACACTATGCCAAAATTAAAACATTGCATCTGGTTTTAGCTTTACTCTTTGGAAAAAGACAACAACCTTAGACATGTTTTCTACACTGACTGAGGAAAAAAAAAATACAAAGAGAGTAAAGATTAGATATGAGGCAAAAAGTATGTATGCACATGTTTCACACAAAAACAGGAATAATATAAATTAAAGATTCTATTGGGGCTAATACAGATTCAACACTCATTTTCTGTTAACTTTGGTTCACAAACTGGGATTTTGCTGGGAATGCACACTTTCCCCTCTCAAACCATGCATGTATCTTCATCACAACTGAACAGTTGGACAATGTCAACATTAATTGTGGTTAATGTAACCCAGGTTTCTGGTTACCATGGCTTGGAATATGAAGTTTATGATGATGAAGTACCATCAAGTCAATGTCAACTCTTAGTGACCACATAGATTGTCTCAAGAGGTCTTCCAATGGTGAGATACCAAGAACCCTTGTTCATATTAACTAAACAGAGGACCATAACCATTTAAATGGAATTAAAGTGGAAGGCAGAAATTTGGTCTAGGGAAGGGAAGGACTACAGAGACAAAGCATGCATTCGAGTTTATTAGCCATGGTTAACAGGGAATCAGTACTGTATCCAGTTGTACAATGGGTGGCAGAAATAAATTTCTGATGAAAGAGGTAAAATCTGTGGAGTAAGACTAAACTGGTTCCCTTTGTGTCAGTTAATTTCAGATCATCTGGAGCCCATGTTAAGATAATAATGGAAAGATTTGTGAAGGAAAATAAGTTATATCAAGTGGGCACTCTGAGATCAACTCTATTCTAGTTTCTATGATATCAAAGTTTTCTATTGTGCTAAAGGTAAGAACAATTTAACCCTGATTTTTTTCTCTTAAAAAAAAAAGAAAAAAGAACACTTACTTTCCCATGACCACAGAACAATATATTTCTACAGGTTTCCAAACCTTTCAATGCTGAATCCTAACACTGCCTTTGGTCCATTAACACTCTTGGTTCCAAACTCCCTTAACTGATTTCCTACTGCCAATAAATGCTAACACTTAATGCTAGATCAAGCTCAGGCATTTTTGGAAAACAAGTAGTTCCCACGTTGTGCTTCTTGCTTTGATTGATTTGCCTTTCCTTAGCAATGACCACAGAAACAGAAGTTGCTAGTGAAACAACAGGATTTCACCACCCCATACAAGACAGTTTCAGGAATTAGACATTATTTGGAACACTTACACAAGAAGTCCAGCGGCTGCATCAAATCTAAATGGATTTCTCGAGGAAATCTTTAGGCAAAAGCCTAAAATAGTTAGGGACACCTGCCAGGGAGGGCAGAGGGAGTCAAGATGCCACCATGACCACCATCTTAGCTTCTTAAAAAAACCTTTTGGACGCCCCTCAGTTTCTTACGGCTTTAAAGTGGGACGAAGTATTTATCATAAAAGAGAGGGAAAGGGGGAGGAAACATTTTAGGAACTGCTAGAAAGTAAGGGGAAAGTTTTCCCATTCTTGGAATTCCTGTTCGCTTCAACCAGTTGATGCTATTCAAGGAATAAGCTGAGGGGACAGTCAGTCTGTGGACACTGAGTCCCTCCTGCATCCGTTACCTTCCACCAAGAAATTGTTAACTATCAAACTCTGTCCATAAATTTTGTCGCTGAGGGTGAAACCATCCAGTTAGCATAAACACTATCATTTGCATATCTTGAAAACACAGACTTAGGCCCATCGCTTCTTGTGAGTGGAACGGGGCTCTCTTCAGGCCAGTTCGGGTATGACATGCCTAAAAATGAAAACAGATAATTTTTTCTGCACTGAAGAACCAAAACTTCATGTGCAGACAGTAAGGCCCTTGGCAAAACTCCCTTCACCAATTGCAAGCCAAATGACAAAATATGCTACCCCCGCCCCCAAGGAAAATCAAACGTGTGTGTTTCCAAGGCGCTGGGACACCAAGCTAAAACCCACGAAAATGTGTTCTTCTTACGCAGCCCGCTAATATGCTTGCTCCCGAGAAGCTTTTTTAAATTTCAGAATGTTGTGTTTTTAGGGGATGCAAAAACACAGTGGTTATTGCAGTGGGGATTCCTGTGGCAAAAGCAGCGATAAATCTCAGAGTCTCAATTTGACAAAGTGTAAAGTCTTTGCATGTGTGTTTCAGTCAAAGACACTCATCATCCCACTGATGGACAAAGGAAGGAGATGTGTGTGTGTGTGTGCACACATATATACATGCGCATACATGAATGGATATAAATGTGTTTGAGACCCTGGAATGTATTCCATAAGGCCACTGAAATTCATATATATATATATAAAAACTGACTCTGGCTTTTCCTGAATGGCTTAATTTGATCTTTGTCTTTTTTAACTGAAAGGTGCCCAGAATTATTTTGGAGTTGGGCAGCCTCTAAATAATAATAATAATAATAATAATAATAATAATAATAATAATAATAATAATAATAATA